TCAACTATAATTTGAGAAACATCAGCAAGTTAAACTAAGGTAATGTTTTGAGAGAAGATTTCACTTAGAATAGAAACTAAGAAATGAGAGCTGGGGAATTAAAAACAATTAGCATCTCCCAAGTCCTGACCATGGTGACGGAAGGCTCGAATCAGCTAGCCATCTTCCTCCTTATGTTACAATACTACTTCTAAGAATTTTTCTTACTGTCTCTTTCCTTTTTTATTTTAGTTGTCATACATTTGTTTTTAACATGACACCCTGGTTTTATAGCATATGAATTTTTCAAAGTTGGAGATCTTTTTACCTACTATGTTCTTCAGACTTTTCAATAAATGGGAATGAGAGGCAGTAAAGTTAGCTTGAATCTGCAAGTCACAATACAAATACAGAACACCCTTGGGGATTGATTTCTGATTGAGATTGTAGAAGCAAAAGGGATTATATGGAAAGTAACCTCACAGGGTGATCTGATCATAAATTCCTAATTGGGCAGGTCATAGTGGGTAGTCACACCCCAAGCATATAAATTCTTTAGTAAAAGGCTTATCTTTATTTTAAGGGAGCCCTGTCCACTGTTTCTGTGCATCTAAGTTAACATACTTTTGAAATGCCTCCTTTCAAACCCCTCCTAAAATTTGACCACCCTCAAGAGAGCACATAATTTTAACTGTCCTATAATCCGATCCTCGCCTTGCTTTTTCCCACCTTCATGTAATCTTCCTTATGTTCCCTCCTTAATTTCAAATGCATAAAAGATACTGAAAATTGTCATTCTCTGGAGCATGTGAGATCTTGCTCCCTGGCACATGTCCTCACTTTGGCTCAAATAAACTCTTATGTACAGGTTTTGGAGTTTCTTACATGGACATTTACTTGGTGTGGTATGGCAGGATTCTGAAGAAGCCCACCCAGGACCACACTCCTGACCAGGTGCTAGGTACAAGCAGGGGCTCACTGTGCTTCATCAGCTCCCCAATTTCCATCAAGTGAACTTGGGTGAGTCTTTTTCTTGGAATCTTGAACCTGTCTGCTTTAGGTAGTGGTTCCTGACTTCATCTGCGCTGTTCTTGTGTGGCTGTTTTTAATTTCGGCTTTTAAAAATTGGCTCAAAAAAAAATTTAAATTAACATAGTAAATCATGTCTCCAAGGCCAACAAGCTCGACAACAGTCAGTCTCTCTTTAGTTTGCAAGTTTTATATACAATATGTATGGAGCCTCAATTTGCGAGTATCTACAGAAATGGGGAGATTTAACTAAAACTGATATCAGCTTAAAGTGGCTGAAATGGGGCTCTTTTGGATACCTCTAAATTAGTGTGTGTGTGTGTGTGTGTGTGTGTGTGTGTGTGCGCGCGCGCGCTCAATTGGAAAAAGCAGGCTATAAAATTGAACTGAACGAATAGGACGCTTATCTTGATTGACAAATAGAAGCCTCTAAAAGGAGCGCGGATAAATTTTTTATTCTCGGGAAGTTAATAAGAAAATTTTAGAAACTGTCTGAACCCTCAGATAAAATCTCTTCTCTTCAGAAAGTCAATAAGGAACTTTAGAGACTGTCGCTGAACTAAAGGCTTCCAAAACTGCTCAATGCCAACATCCCTCTTCCCCCTTTCTCCATCCACCCCACTACTTTCGGAGCTCCTTTTCCTGACTTGCCCTGCCTTTCTCCTCCTCTTCTTTCCTCTCCACCACCACCTACTGACTTAGGGGAAACTAAAACCAGAAAGCCAGACTAGGATAGACTAGAAGAACCAGAAATTCTGGCAGCTCCTTTTTGAGAAAAGCCAATAAGAGGACAAGGGGAACTGGTGATAATTTACTTAGCTTGGACTGAAGCAGAATTAAGAAATCTAACTAAAGGGTTTCCTGATCCCTTCCAAGGCCATGTTGGGTTGTCAAAGGAATTTGATTTAAATGTTAGAATATATGATCCTGGTTATTCTGACCTGTTCCAACTAGTACACCTATGGGTTTCTAAGAGCAAAGCAGCAGAATGGTTAAGTAAGGTCTGCTGGAAAATCCCATAGAGGACTTTTTTTAAATGAAGAGAAATGGACCAAGAAAAATGCAGGGAATTAGCCCATTAGCTTCACCAAGCCATCCCTGAGATTTTTCCCTGGAAAATAGACTGGACGAAAATCCAGCAATGTAGACAAAAACCTGATGAAATTATACTTGCTTTCTTTGAATGTTTTGAAAAAACTTTCCAACAATATTCAGGATTATCTCCAGACAGTTTTAAGGATCGTCAAAATGATCCAATGCTCAATTCAGCATTTCTGGAAGGATTAGATTGTAATTCTGATTAAAGAACACGAATTAAACTGGCCGACCACACATGCTGATGAACTAGCAACTCTGGCCGATCAATTGTTAAAACTATTCAAAAGGAAGAAAAGGATAAAGCTACTAAAATTATGAACTTACTGTTATTCTCTGAAGCATTTATCTCAGTCTGTTATCTTACTTCCAGGTAGTATCCTCTGTTTGGCTCAAATAAACTCATAAAAATTTTCTACGGGTTTGGACATTTCTTATATCAACGCCCCAATCGTTGAGAGGAGAGCAAGACTTCCGTAACTAGAACAAGTCCTCTCGATTTAAATCCTACAATACCTTTTAGAAAAGGGTCCTTTATCATCATGAGTGTTATTAAATGTAAAACATAACCATACAAGCCTAAAAGCAACTATGTGCCTGGGATGTCTTGTACTAACACACTGCTAACTGCCCCCTTTCCTTTTCATTTTTATTATTGATATGGCTTTTTAAAGAAACACGGGGATAATTTTGGAATTTTTAAAATTTTTTCAAAATCCTTCTTGGATTCTGGCCACCTCACTTCTTTCTTCTTGGCCTCTTTCGTCCTCTTAGCTAAGAGAACCACTGAAATAGACCTTACTCGAGTTACACTCTAGGCACAGTGGATGTGTAGTGTAGCTGTTAGACAGCGTTGGCATAAAACTGACCTAGATTTAAATCTTGACTGCCTGGTGGTAGCTGTGTGACCTTGAGCAAGTCAGTCTGTCTTGGTTTCTCCCTCTGTATAATAATATCTAATCACAGCTAACACATATATAGTGTTTACCTGTATCAGACATCATTCATTTGATCCTTACAACACCCCCTAGTGGAAGAAACTATAGATCAAGCAACCGAGGCCCAGAGAGGTTGAGTGACTTCCCCAAGGGCACACAGCCAGTAAGCTGCAGAACAAAGATTCTAATGCAGGTTCCAGAGTCCAGGCTCCAACCACCGTATATACCTACAGCCTTTCCATATGAGGGCAATAAATGAGGACATACCTATTAAGGGCTGTTATGAGGATTAAATGAGATCACGTATGTAAAGTCCAATACTTGACAAGTGTCTAATAGGTAGCAGCTGTGTGTGTTATAGAGCTCTTTCCTTCTGCACTGGGAAATCTGCAAGTCTTTGAGGGTAGGAAAAAAAGAGGTCGGAGGAAAGAGAACAGAAGCCAAGGGAGAAAGGTGATGAGGTGGAATGTGGAAGGGGAGTACGGAGGTTATGGAGAAGTAAGAAACTTTCTCTAACCTTCAAGGTTCTTTCGGCTGGACTAATAATTAAATTGACATAGATTAACAAGAGAAAATAATGAAATTTAATTATATACATATGCATGAAAACCACTGGTACATGAGAGAGTCAGAAACCCCCACATACATGAGAGGTCCAGAGACAGACAGGTAAAATGTTAAAATAAGGCATATATGACATTCTGAGCTAAGAATGATGTAAAGGCACCTTGGGGCTTCATCAGAGAGTAGGACGGTCATCCACAGTAATGTAGAGAGGAGGCAAGAGAATTAAAATGTTAATCAAGCCACAAGCAGAGACTGCAACATGCTGATCAGTCCTGCAGCCAGGCCAGAAGGACACCTTCAGAACAAGGGAAGATTTCTGCTGGGATTCCTAGCCCCATCCCCACACCTGTGAAGGGGAAACAGGAATCAAGAATCATTTCCTATGGCTAAAACCATGGGGGATCTATGGATTAAAGCCTAGGAACGGCCAGCCGGCCTTTCACTCTTCCTCACTGTAGGTCCATATCAAAGGAAATGGGTTAACAAAGTCTTTTAAACTATAACTCAGAGGAACTAAAGGATGATATATAAACTGAATTCCCTGACCAATCAGCCCCCTACTCACTGTCTTTCCATGTCTCTCTTGGTCCCTCTCATTCTATGCCTTTGAGAGGAGACCACACTCTGTGGAGTGTTATCCCTTTTCTAATAAATTTTCCTTTTGACTCTAACTTTGGCGTGTGTGTTGAATTCTTTCTACACTCTCTGCCAAAAAACTCTCTTCTCTCTGTACAGGGCTTGGTCTCTCCGTCTGTCATTTGGGGAAATTTGCTCTGTCCTGCATCAACAAGACTTTAAGAGAGATGTTCAGTAATTAGAAGTTGTCCTGCCCTATAGATAAGTCAAAAAAGTCACATCTGGTTATAACTCTTATTGTGGGCAAGGCCCCTAAAATTCTTTGAGGGAGAGGCAAAAGTTTCTCCGGAGACTGCAGGGTCTTTGTTTGTTGCCTTTAGCTCAAAATAATCTACATACCACGGAAGCACATCCTGGGGTGACCTGTTCTGAAGTCCCACAGGATAAACAAGAGAGGCAGAGAGAGCTCTGAATACTTAGGAAACAACTCTAGCTGACTGGGCCTGCAGCGAACACAGAGACACTTCTCAACTGCAGAACAGAAACTTGCCAACTGCAGAGCAGAAGTTAAATCCGCCAGGCTTCCGACCTAGGCGACCTCCTCCGCCCCACCACACCCTACCCTAAGGCCTCCAGGGCGGGACCGGCTTCCCGATTTGGCGGCGCGTCTTCCTGGCTCTGGGCGGACCTGGCCCGCCCCCTCTGCCTGGAGCCCCAGGCCCGAGCCACGCGGTGTCCTGGGCCGGGGCTCCGTTCGTGGGACGCGATGACG